TTGGGTCAACGACTATTCAGGAATACTTACTGAATTAGTTGGAGAGCCAGCTTCAAATATCGACCGTCATGTGATAACGAAATGATATGTCCCAAAACCATGTAAAAACATTGTATCTAACCGAACGGCAATCACTATTCTGAGCAAAATGATTGAGAAATTGCTCTTTATTGTGCAGTATGATTTGCGCGAAATTTCGCATTGTGGTAACAACCTGGTAAACACAAAATCGTTTATAAAACGTTGAATAACGGTTGAGATCAAGGAAATAACGTTACTGCGTGGAAACTTCAACGTTGAAATTCGCTTGAGGAAGAACGAGGTATTATCACTTTCAATAGACGACATCTTTCGAGGTTGACAACGAAAGGATGTGCTGACTGGGCTTGTCTAGTTCGTCTGACTGGTATTGTTAGTGAATGGATGATAGCAGAGATTTCCGAAAAACATTTCCCGTAGAAGTATCGATAGAAAAGTGAAAGGTCGCCGACCTTCTTACGGTGTTCCAATGATGTCAAAGAGTGAATGAGTGTGACATCACCCACCAGGCGAATGGCTCTTCTCTAGATGGAAGCTAAGAGCATCAGCGTATGTTTTGGTGTTGAACCCCATATGTGGGAACAGTATTCTAGAACAGACCGTATCTGCGCCTTTGTAGATCATGAGAAGCTGTTGAGGTGTAAATTTGTTTTTCGCACGGAACAAGAATCCGAGTTTTTGTGAAGCAGCTTTTGCGATGGATGGTGGGGATGGTGGTGTCAGACATTACAATGTCGGGCATACTGAGTTCTGCCTTTCTAGAGAAAATACAGGCTTGAGTTTTGGTGGCGTTGAATTCAACTAGGTTGTTGGTTCCCCAGGCTGTGATTTCAGCAAGGTCTTCATTGAGAGCATTGACCTGCCTGCACCGTGAGTTCTTAGTTTCCTGGGAAGAAATGGGAATTCTGGAAGAAAACGCAGTATGGAGGGTACTATTATCTGCAAAGCTGTGGATGGGGCAAGTTGTTACTCCCAATTAATATAAAGAAGGAATAATGTTGGTGCCAAAATTGTACCTTGTGGAACGCCGGAATTGATGCCAATGGTATCAGACGATACAAAGTCCACCACCACATGAAGCGATCTGCCTGAAAGAAACTCGAGAGATGGCATGGTGGTAAGCCGTATGATGGTAGTTTGTGGAGGAGTTTTTCATGCCAAACACAGTCGAATGCTTTCGATATGTCCAACGCGACAGCTAGAGATTCCCCGTGTTTTCCTAATGTAGATTGCCATAAATGGGTGACGTAGGCAAGTAGATCTCCAGTAGATCTTCGGTGGCGAAAGCCGTATTGTCTATCATTGATGATTCCTGAGCTCTACAGATATTTGATAAGCTCAATATTGATGACTTTCTTCATCACTTTGGAGAAAACTGATATCAGGGCAATGGGCCTGTAGTTGTTGGGCAGGTTCTTGTTCCTTTTTTTGGGGATTGGTTAGAATTATGTGACTATAACAATGATTGAATACTTAAAGTTTGTGATTTTCTTCGATTATATGACTTGTACAACTTTTGATACCAACAGGAATTCGCATATAAAAACGATTCTTCACATATAAATAATTTTATTGTGTGCCAACCAGTGCATAGTTTGACATTGGATTGCCTAATTGCCAGAAATAACATATTCATCACGTTAGAAAAATAATAGATTGAAACAACAAATTATTGTTTATTTCAAATTCACACTTTTGATGTACTTGATAAGTCTTTTAGTCGTTAACTGTTGGAAAGTCGTACAAAATCACCAATGAAATAGAATTTCGATAGCAAATGAGTAGTTGTAAACACGTTTGTGTACTGGTTTAAAACAACGTGTATGTCAGCGATATTTTTGCGTCATTTCAACCGACCGTTTTGGTAATTTTACTACGTTATGTCGGGAAAAGTGTGTTTACTGGCGAAATAGGAATGATTAGGCCATCCGATAGCAATTGAATGGTACATCTCAAAACCCTACCTGTACCACTCCTTATCGGATATTATCCTAAAACAGGGGCGAACTATTCTCTGGAATTGATGGTTAGATCAGTTTGAATCTCGGCACGTTTGGATATTCGCGAAAAGGACATTATTATTATTTTTTAATTGCATTTTTCCCAATCTATCACGTGATGGAACACTGAGAGAAATTATCCGTTGTAAATACCTAAAGTCCACTATATCATACCAAGCGTTGTGGTTAAATAGGCGCCAGTCACTACGTTCATCAAATATAACCACAACAAAATAGTATGATTGAGGCAATATGACATACTGAAACACCAGTTATTAGGGATCCTACTTGTACGGTTATTATTCACCACTACAAATGAGTTAATAATACTATTCAGCTCGTCGGTTCGTATTTACCACTACAAACTAGTGATTTCTACTTATAGATTCGTTCATTTTTGTCTGTTCAAACTATGGATCAATATTTTTCTACCACCGACAGGGACACACTTATTTGGAGAAAAAACTAGAAAATATCACAGAATCTCAATAATTTGCAGGTATGTTATGATAATTAGGTAGGTAGTAGAGATAGTTATCTGAGTATATGAATGAAGTTGGGAATGAGAGAAAAATCGAATTATTGTGTGAATTTGATTTTTGTGTGCAACAAAATTGAGATTTTCTCGTTCTCCTAGGTATTTTACTCACTGTTGAAAATCTGTAACAACTCTTCGAGTGACCACTATCAGGTACTGTTCACACTTCACAGTACCACAATTTGTAGTTAAGTACAGGTACTTACACTATACACATGCATTGCAAATGAAAACTCCATGGGCCACGATACTAACGCAACGAAAGATGAACTATGAACTGATTAAACGACCACGCCAACGCCATTGCATGCATTAAAAAAACGAACGTGGACGATCGGCTTCGTGATTTCGGCATATTACTCTCTGATGTAGTAGATTTGTACATCACAAAAAGTAAACCTATTAATATTACCGTACGCACTAATACGTAGTGGTAAATAGAAATATCAGGGGAGTAACATTCAACACAATCCTAATACCACTACATGAGAGATATTTATCAGTTACTGGATATTATGGAATATGTTATTTGATGTAGTGGTGAATAATAATTTGAACTATTGATATTCGGAGGTGGTATGCAATAGGTTTGTCTAAGTATTGATCACTCAAATAAGTGATATCACGAATATGTGTTGTGTTGATGAAACTAATTCGAAACCACCATTACATTCAGCTATACAAATCTTCATTTATTTTCTCAGTGAAGTATCTCCCGATTATCGGCAGCATTCAATTGCTATCGGATGGTATTATTGTCATATTTTGATCAAATAGCGACATTTCGCGCAACTTACCGCACAAAAAGGATTAATTTCTCAATAATTTCGCTAAGGATAGTGATGTTTCCACATATCTTATGCAATTTCGTTTTCAGATGCAGATCGAAATTTGTAGTTGGCTCTAGGTCTATAAATAGCAGATATTTGAAACAAAACTCTGGTAAATTTAAGAATTTACGTTGCCGGAACTCACCAGACAATGATATAGATCCACGCGGGAGCAGCCCTATTGTCACCTGGAGCCCTACCTCGTGTTTGCTACTTCGATGACGTCGGTTTAGCCCTTCTGAGGTGAGACGATAGTCAGTTGGTCTATTGGATGAAAACACATCTATTTCTGGAAGGTTTTACTATTTTCCACGTGCTGTGACCTGAGGTTGAATGAACTTGTTTCTATAACAGAGTTGTAGGAGAATGCTAGAGCTGTAGCATTTTTCCTCTGTGCTGTCGTTGCGTTCATCGAGGACCCCACTTTCCACTAGTCAGAATGCCCTGGTACTTTGACACTATCGACGCCACGGATCTGGACTAGAGGAGACTGCAGATACCTCTGGATTCAACCAGAGTGAGCTAGAAGCAAATCTGTCGTTCTTACCTCCGTGGTAGCGCCAGGAGGAATACCAGGGAGAGAGAGACCGCGGAGTTTAGCCCAGAAGATTTGTGGAGGGGCCTCCCTTTATGTTGATGCTGTTGGCAGTGACCTATGCTGCCCATCCTGAGAAATGGACCGTGATCGGTGTGATCTTGATCCCTATGGAGAGGCTGTTTTATCAGGTTTTTGTTAGGGAATTTATTCAATTATCAATCATTGAATACCTTGAACGTAAATCCACTTGTGAGGCCGTCTCATAGCGCTATGCGACAGCTGTAGGTTTTGCGCTTGACTCCTTTGATCCTTTCGAATAATCCCCCATCTGATTATTGGTAGATACTGGTCTACATCTGTTTTTTCACTATTTAGATCATGAACTCGTGTCTGATAGTTAGGCTAACTTGATCGGTTTATGATACTCAACTTCCATGACACTTGAAGTCACATATATTCCATTAGCCTCCACAATCTGGGAAAATAATACATCTTTATTTTCAGAATTTAACTATACTATTTTACTACTTGGTTTTCTCAATTATCCAAACTCCATAAAATAATTGATATTGTATGCATCTAGTTCCACCTCGAACTCACTTTTTTGCTTTTTCTTTCAACTCGTTATCACAACAAATCGCTGTGCCATGGATTTGGCTCAGACTGAGTGGAGACACAAGTAGGTTTATGGAATCTACCATTGAATTGGTTTCGAATAGCATAATTCTTATCTCGTTATGAAATCGCGAAATTGACTGCAAATTTTCGCACAGAAAAGTGCCAAGTTTCATTCATTTTGCTCTGGATAGTGATTGGCACAGGTACCGTTAAATAAACTATAATATTTCCACATTCCTTCTGGACATAATATATCATTTCGTTATCAGGTGACGGTAGAAATCTGCATCCGGCTCTCCTACAATACCACTCTACGATTTATTTCCCTCATTTTTTGTTCGTTCACGAACTGAATATGGAGTCATAGTGAGCGGAATGTCAATTTGTTCAATAAAACTGAGAAAGAACCCGCAAAACTTTAATAATCGTTTCCTGAGAAGTTCACGATTTTATTATATCGAGATTTTTCTTAGAACCACAATCATTATATTGTCTCCGATATCTCAATGCGTGATTCAGAAGTAATATAAGTATCAACAAGAAATTAACACAAGTTTATTATTGAATGATCATGGAACCATATTAGGAACATGAATAATCCTATAAACTCGTTTCCAGTTTTCCATTTTTATGTATATTTACATCAATGAATAATGTGTCATTTTGTACATAGTTAGGCTTTAGTAGAACGGAATGAGGAACGAAGATGTAACTTGAGGAGGACTCCTGAGGTTCATCCTCCTCTTCACCTCCAGTTTGCCTCTTAGCACTCACATATTTGGACAAAGGTTTCACCTAAAATGAAACAAAAGTTCTTTCCATCCCATTGATCTGAATCTGACTGTTATTACCTTGTCTGAGTTCTCCAAATTCCTGATCGTTATAGTTGCCTCAATATGGCAGGGCCATCTCAATAGCATGTCGTACTCACCCTTGAGTACATGAATGCACATCAGGGCATAGCGGTCTTTCCACTTCTTTAGGCCATTGAAATATAAAAGTATCTGGAATTTAAAGAAATGATCATTGTAATAGTGATTTCACAATTTATTCATTATTCGAAATGATTCTGTCGCTTCATTGTTAGAGAAATCGTGTTGTCAAGTAACAACGAATCTGCTAGAACAAGTGGTAGCTGTATTGCACTACTGTCTAATCATTAGTGAATTCAACTGAAGCTTGTTTTTGGAACAATTCACAGCCCCATCATCTTTTTTGGTCGCTTTCTTATTTGTTGATCTATCTGTCTGTCTCTATTTCTTCCGAGAACATTCGTTGCAAAAATACTCGAAATGGCGCACCAAAGATGGCGGATGAGTTTGATAATCCTCATCAGAATAACAGGGAGTCTTATATATTGAATACATCTACATTATGTTCTCTGAAAAAATGGTCGGTAGTAAATATCAAAAGTTTAATGGAATAGGCGCTATATACATTCATCATATTTATCGTATATAGTACTAGCTTCTACCCGCGACTTTGGTCGTGTTGAAGCCCTCAAATAAATATCAAAGCATTCCAATAGAACCGAATCAATGTGATTGAGTATCACAAATAACTATATACAACGAAGTTTCGAAAACTGAATACATGCTATATTTACTAAAAAAAAAAATTAAAATGTATGTCACTATAACAAAAATAAGTAAAATCGGGCAGTGAACGAAGGAATCCTGAAAAAAAAACATCATTCAAATAGCGAATCACTATCCGCCCCAATAGTAATTGCTCCCACAGTATATGCTTAATAAGTAACTCCGGAAAAAGAAAACAAAAAATAAGTGTGGGATTCGAACCTAAGACTTTTGGCTTATTAAGCGCACCTCACTCCATTGGCTATAATGTTTGCTGCGAATTTACGTAAAACGCAGATTTTTAGACGCATTATTTATTGCATCGCATCCTTATGGCACGATTGGCACGATGGACCATTTCGGCTAGTATTGAATTATTCTTCTGTATAGCCACGTATAGCTTCCGTATTGTTTTTTTTGTTGCGCCCTGTTTGTAGATGGACCAATTCAGGTAGTTTCGAATTCGTGAATTTTAGTTGCACAGAAGGCTAAATGGTTTATGTCCTTCGTGATCAAGTCAGTGAATGTCAAAAAATCTGAAGGAAATTGAATTTGCGTCTTCAAAGTGCCCATCTGATGTTAGGTTAAAATGGGTTGAATATTCGTCATTTTCATTTCATCATCTAAACAATCCAAGACTTCATTTTGATCATTGATATCTAAGGTAACGACGTTTAGAGTTTCATGTTTGATTATTGGATATTTCGTGTCCAACAACCATGTCTCTGGCAAAAACATTTTTTCCGCCGTGATTTTTTACAAATTGAAAATATATAATGTCTCTTCTTATACATTTAAGTAGTTTCAGGATAATCGGTTGAATAGTTTTGGCGTATCACGAACAAACTTGAACATTCACATTCATGATATTGGTAGGGATGATAGAATTTTGTATTAGTAAGAAAAAATTTGATATTATAGAGTATTATACTATTTTGTAGTGAATGATGAATGTAGTAGCTGGCGCCTATTTTTCTAACCGATTGGTATTTACTAACGACTTTTTCTCTGACTGTATAGGTATAACGGATATCCATAATATTTTCATACCTTTTCCCAACGTTCTGAATAGGTAGAATATGTCCCGAAATCACATAGAGGGATTTCAACCACAGATTCTAGGAACATGAATACAGAAAAATGTTAAATACTGTCTGTAGGTTAATCGAGGAGGTGGTACATTCATTTTACTTGGTTCTTTGGGATTTTCTCTCCTCGTTTCTATAAAATAAAAGTATTCGCATTATTTCAATATATTTGTAGAGGGACAAATCAGATGATTTGCCCCAAAATGTCACTGCGTTTAACAAATTTTTCTATCAGGGAGTCTAAAAGAAAAATCCAGTAGCTTGTCAGTGACAATTTGTTTGAAAAAATTTTTCGAAGGAAAGAAATATAGATATATTGAAAAAATATCGAATTTGTACTTATCTTTGGACGTTTCGGGACCTATTCTGCTCCCGTTCTCAACATGTAAATGCAAATTATGAAATGAAAACATCCTGTAACTCATTTGTAGACTAAAATCACTCATTCATATGCCAACATCAGTATGACACTGAAAAGTGTCAAACTATACGCAGCACAACTTTCAAAGAAAAATAATTTGCATTTACATGTTGAGAACGGGAGCAGAATAGGTCCCGAAACGTCCAAAGATAAGTACAAATTCGATATTTTTTCAATATATCTATATTTCTTTCCTTCGAAAAATTTTTTCAAACAAATTGTCACTGACAAGCTACTGGATTTTTTTTTTAGACTCCCTGATAGAAAAATTTGTTAAACGCAGTGACATTTTGGGGCAAATCATCTGATTTGTCCCTCTACAAATATATTGAAATAATACGAATACTTTTATTTTATAGAAACGAGGAGAGAAAATCCCAAAGAACCAAGTAAAATGAAGAAAAATGTTCATATAAATGTTTCCGAAACCCTCTGTGATAAAATAAACAATTGTTTACATGTACCTAATTTTTTATGCCCTATTTTGGAATGTTATGCATTTTCGACATTTTGATCAGGGGCGCGGAAAATAGGGCTAGAGGCACTTTTTTCCCCAAGGAAATAGGTCGCGTGCATGATGACCGACCCTGATGGAGGAAAAATATTGAAACACAACCTCACTCTTCTGTGAATTATTGAAACACAACCTCACTTCTTCATTTGTTTACAGAGGAATCGGAGGATTGAAATAGTTTTTCCCAATATTTCGACATACGAATCGTGTTTTTTGCATGTGTATTTCTATAAGCTCCTATTGCAGAAGGAATTCCGATAAGAAATCAGAGAAATTACCAAATTACAAAAATGAAAACCATTATGTGAGTGACTTAGTCTTGAATAATAATAATAATCCGTCTTTATTTCCTCAAAAGAATATTAGATATCAATATGAGGCATAGGTGGTATGTGTATCAGGCGAAGTTTAGCTAGGAAGCTATTGTTACACTTAACCTGTGCTCGACTTATATAACCTAATCCTAATACTAGTCCTAAAAACCTAAATCTAGCTCGACATCTACATTTTCACTTATTGTCTCACATGTAAAGTATGATTCAACAAATCGCTCTTAATTTTTTCACGGAATTACGTCGATGGTGATTGTTTGAATTCTATTGGTAATGAATTATACAGTCTAACCGAGTTGTATGTGAAGCTTCTTTCAAACAGAGACGTGGTATGATGAGGCATTGTTAATTTTAGCTGATGTCTAACATTTATATTTTGGACATTTTGTCTGAAAATGAGTTTTTCTCTAAGATAAGCTGGAATTGAATCCTCAAGCAACTTGTGAATGAGATTAAAAAAATAATATTTTGAGGAATTGTTCATATCTAACCACTGATATAATGTACCAACAGGATTCCTTCGTCTTCTGCTGCAGATTTTGTGCATTGTACAACAGCACAATGTGATGGCATGAGAGAATTAATGAATATCCGAAAGATACGATTCGTATGCCACTTGTAGACAGATAATAAAAGTGAGGTTGTGTTTCAATGTTGTTCCTCCAGGGTCGGTCATCTGACAGTTCTTGCACGCAACCCATATAATCAACTATTTTCAAGATGATTCGATTTCAAAAGTTTTACCTGCGTAATGAAAATAGTACTTTTCATTATAGGGTACCTACCTACCATATTAGTTTTCAATTCACTTTTTATTGCATCCTCTATATTTTGAATCAAACATCAGAAGTATTTGTTGAATGCAGGGGTGTTTTCCATCAAATTATAATCTTTGGGTAAATTCAGTACCCTATCAGGAGAAAGCACTATTTTTATTACGCAACAGAATTTTAAAATCAATTCATCTCGCGAAAGGTGGGTACTATCGAAACTAAAAAAGTTTACCAATTTCAGGTAAAAATCATTAGAGCTCCATATTTCAATCTCAAATTCTCAAATTGGGCATAGAAAGTTCGGTATAAGTACAAAATTTGGTTATTTCATCACAGAGGGTTTCGAAAATGTTTAAAAAATATATCATCTTGGGCTCTCCATCAGATGGCTATAACCCCCCAGGGGGCCATTTCAGGACTCATGTTTATATGAAGTTTTTTCACTATTCTTGTGAAAAATAGTGAGAAAAAAAAATTATTCACCATTCTTGTAGCCGGGATTGGCGCAGTGGAAGAGTGTCCGTCTTACAACCGCCAGGTCATGGGTTCGATTCCCAGCACGAGCAAGGAACCTTTTTTACAATATTTTATTTACGAATTGAATATTCTAATGTTTCGGAGCATCCTGCACGATTCGCTGTTGCGTTCCAATTAACAGTGCTGCTCCTAAAGTGGCGCATGGAGTTAGTAACAAAGCCTACACAGAACACGCAGAAAGAGATGATGATGTGGTTGTGAGCATCAGAGAAGAAGTAGGACGGTGTATGTAGGTGGGTGTGGAAAACTACCAGCTGAGCGTAAGAGCGGACCAGCTGCTTAGTAGACCTCAGTCTCTAACGGGGGTTAGCGAGGATAGCTAGCAGGCCTGCCACTGAGCATATGGTAGTTAGTACATTACTAGCCTACAAAACACAGCCGAAAAACTCTGAAAGAGAGCTGATGGGCGGTGCCTGAAAAGGATGTTAGCCAGCTCTCTTGACCGAACCACATCAGTCATTGAAAACACTTGGGGTTTGCAAAAAGGTCCTATTAGGGACTAGTTGCTCACGTGGAAACGTTCCCCACCAGTACCAGTACCAGTACCAGTTCACTATTCTTGTTCCTAGAATCAGTGATTGAAATCTTCCTTTGTGATTTTTATACCCTGTATATGTAACGATTCGAAAAACAACCGGTAGATAATATACTGATCGATTTTCATGTATTCTTCTCTTTGGTAAGTATATAGTGAGTATATACCTACCCCAAATTATTTTTTATTTTTTTATCGCTTGGAGCGCACGAAAGGGAATCCCTATAATGTTCAAAGAACATCGTGCGTTCCTAGGGAGGATAGGGACAGGAGGTATAGGTATTGGAATTATTTTTGAACTTTTGGAGATTATATGTTGTTGGGAATACTTCCACAGGCAATGAATTCTAGAGCCTAGCCGTTCTATATGGATGAAGGAGTCTTGATAAAGTTCTGTTCGACATCTTTCGAGGTTGACAACGTGAGGATGTGCTGACTGGGCTTGTCTAGTTCGTCTGATTGGTATTGCTAGTGAAGGGATGATAGCAGAGATTTCCGAAGAACATTTCCCGTGGAAGTATCGATAGAAAAGTGAAAGGTCGCCGACCTTTCTACGGTGTCTAATAAAACAATAATGTGATATGACAACAAAACCAACTAATGATTATATCCAAGATTCTAAACATCAGTTCATAGTTCATTCAAATCATGAAAATCATCCATGTCTCAAAGGGGTCCCAGTAATTTCATAAGGAATCTAACGAACACAAAGTCAGTGGACCACATTTCATAGAACGTAAAAATTCAACAAGATGTCACCAGTTTCGGCACTACGGTCATTATCAGACAAAACATATGAGTACCAGTAAAAAATTATATCATGGTAGAAATGAATCCTGAGAAGGAAAGAGTAAGAAGATACCAAAATGTACAAAGAGTCAAACATATTCAAATGATTTAGAATGTCACAATCATAGCAATACAACACGTGAAAATTTGGTCGTCGGGTTGAGAGATCCAAATACTTTCGAGCATTTTTTGAGTTTGCTGAAGAGCATCAGTTCATATTATGTAAGAAATAACGTTATCTGGTATCTTGAAGATATCGTTTATTTTTGGTGAAGTTTTCGTTCCGAAACTTCAACATACTATATTGCACATACATATATAGTCATACTCACATCACATCGTACATATACAGCGTATTGAAGATATGAGGATATAGTTGATTCAGGGTGATATAAAAAACGTTTCTATGAAACTAAAATATCTAGATTTTCCAAAGAGCATTTGTCTAATCAACAACTCATTGTGTTTCTCTCCGCTGGTTTTTATCTATGAAAGAGGAATTGCATAGAGTTCAAATATTTCGAAACCAAGATTTTGATGGTGCCATCTGAAATTCCCTATCGCTCAATCTGCTTCATATGACAATAAAATGTTCATATGATAATAAATTACCTATTAATCGGTAATTTATAGACTACATACTACCATAAAGAAGCCATCTAATCACAATTAAGTTTTTTGCACTACTGATGATAGCAATTCGGTTGAAAACTAATATTTATGTATTTCTGAACATGATGAATTGATGAAATATATCTTACCCTTATTCTATAACCATATTCATGAGTCGAAAACACTGGGCTCTTCAATATACTTCCAAATTCTCTAGCTTTCATTATCTTATTCTCAACTTCTGTTATTTTCCATAATAATCTACCAGGTACACTATTTATTTCATTGGAACTAGATAATCCCTCCAGAATTTCCATATCAAGTTTCATCTGGTTGATTTCTTTTTGTATTTTAGCAAAATCTCTTTCTATGATTTCTACTTTCTCAATTGCTTCTGATGCAATCTGACTCGCAGCTCTCAAATCGAAAATGACATTGGTGAATTTCGTATTGTGGTCTCCGATTGTAGTCTTGTCTATCTCTAAATCTTTCTTCATATTTTCAGAAGCATCTCTCAGTTCATTCAGTATTGATATAGTTATAGCATTCTCCTGAGCAAGATGAGTTTTGAGGTGTTCGAAATTATCTTCCATATTCATATACACTTGTCTGTTATAGGTTTGCTCCTTCAAGACATTGTCTCTCAAATAATTGATTTGTTCTTGCATCTTATCTAATGACAATGTTTTATTTTGGATTCCGATCATCATGGAGTTAGTGTTGCTTATCTCATTTTGAATTGAGGCTACTGAGTGTTTGATATTGCTCAATGCAACTTCGGTATGATTTTTCCAATCAAATGAGAGCTTAGATTGATGTTTGAGTTTTTCAATATCTGAGCCTTGGTGCATCAGCCTCTTTTCTAGGTTTTCGAGGAACTGACTCGAATTAGTTGCCTCTATCTGACTTTTGGTTTGGGAGTGGGTATTTATTCCTTCCAAATCAGCCACTTTCCTAGAGAGCTTGTAGATTTCTTCTTGAAGTCTGTGGTTATTATTAGCGCCTGAATTCTTACCTGGAAGGTATCAAATGGAAGTTAATCTGGTCAACATTCGGAGGGTGAAATCAAGAATTATTATTGATCAAATTTGAATCAATATATATCCGCTTCATAAACGTCTAGTCGGATAATGTAAAGACTCGATCGTTTGCCTTCTTGAGCGCGTTTGTTTCTTTTGATCACTGTCAGTTTGCTGAAATCAGTCAGCGAACGGACATGTGAATAATTATTTTCACTCTCTCTATTGTATATCAAGTGAAAAGAAACTGAAAATCGACGAGAATTGGATATTGTGTTAATGCAATTGAAAGTTGTGATAAGAAATTCGTTCGGAATATGAAGAAGCGTATAGCAGTGAAATTCGAAATGGATCCTAATATTGATATTTGTTTAATAATAGTGATGAAGACACTGATGATTACTGGGATTGAAGAGACTTTATAGGTATATCAACGTGAGAAGGATGTTTGCTGAAGCCAATTCAATTTACCTCCCACGGGAGTTGATATTTTTTTCTTCCCGTGGGAGTAAATTGACTACTTCGTTTTCTTAAATGATGAAGCAAATGACTACTTTCGATTCACTGACCAGATAATGATAATGGATTAATCCTTGTATCATCCTTACAAACAGAATATATGAGAGGTGGCTATACATAAAAAGGTTTGTCATCGATACACGGCTAATTCCTACTTCAAAAAGATCAATTTGTGTAGCAAAGTCCATATCGGGTTGTCAAAGTGGAGGTGGGCAGTCAAATAGGTAAAATTTCGAAATTCAAATGTTTTGAAGATATATGGGTTATGATCATGAAAATAGTTTTTTTTAAGATATATGGGTTATGATCATGAAAATATCTTTCATTCAATATCCAGGAACTCGGAAAATTGTATATCTAACGCTATTCTGGATCAAGAGATTTGAAACTGAATTTGTTGACACTTTGAGAATTACCACCCCATATAACTCATTTATTCCTTACAGTAAAACCAATTCGAAACGGTTCCACAGGAAAAATGTATTACTGAGGATGTACAGGAAACATCAGAAAGTATGTATGGACTTCAAATATAATAGGTATACCAGAAATATTTCCTCGTCATTACAGAGACCTTTCGAAGGTTTTCCAAAAACACCCTACTTACTATGTTTTTATATTCCTCAATCTGTCGGCATTCAAGACTTACAGCTATTATTTGAATATTTTCCATGAGGTCATGACGATGATAGCAAATCCAGGTATATTCGCTATACCTGTGACTTTTGATTCTCATTGACGGTGACACTAGAAATCCAAATTGTGTACCTAATCATCGTCATGGCCTACTCTAGAAACTAATTCGAAATCGTTCAAGACTTCAAATTCTTAGAAATACAAAAGATGAATATCCGAGGTATATTCCAAAAGCTCAATTATTTTTGTTGATTCTACATAGAGAAGCATCCCTTATACGAGTGTGTTTCTGAATTTTTTTACTGTCGAAAATACAAGATTTATGGAAAGTGGTATAAATTATATGCAGGTACAAATAGTAGATACATTTTCAAGTACGAGATGAACATCATCGGTATCGCAATTTTCATATTTAATTCAGTCGATTTCTTCTGTTCGCTCTTCCTGACTACCTACTTTTAAAAGTCGTCTCTTTCCTTTACGAAATAATCACGGGTTCTTATCGCATCCAGTTGCATGTGGCTTTTCAAATGAAGAAATCAAATGTTCAATCCACCTGGAACAATGTTCGTGATGATTAATTAATATTCACGATACGACTATCGTAAAGACTCATATTACGATATGAGATGGGAAATTTGTCTAACAAGGCCGAAGGCCCAGTTTGATAATCCATCGATTATCGTGATATGAGTTTACGATACGAATATAGTACAATACTGCACCTACTACCAAAAAGCTGATTATTTGATCAAAAATACTGATGATTCATTAGGAATATGTAACATGCAAGTGTTGCAAGGGTTGGGCATATGGTTGTCGTGAATCTATTGTGTTCTCGGTTGTTACCCATTTGGCGACCTGTCAACATTGACGCGTTGATTTCAATTCGAAAACAAAATTAATCGGCATGAATTCGGATCAGGAAAGTTTAGATTCCGATATAGAAATTGCGGCAAATGCACCAATCAAAACTGTACTACCTGCTAAATCCCGGAATAGGTACGAGAATATGTATTATTAGTACCTATCATGTCAATAATTATAATCAATTCTAATTTTATTTCTCCGATTATCATTTATTTCAAATGAGGTCAAATTTTTTTAGATATTGAATATCATAATTGTAGATTATCACCTGATAATAGTATGTCTATATTCATGATAAAATGGTTCTCATTTCTTTTTTGAGTGAAAATGAAATTTGAAATTAAATTTTTTTCACATTACATATTGGGAGTAGCTAACAGATCTTACATCACTGCTGTTTCATACTCCGCACACTGTTTCGCGCGAGTTGTCATGATAACGTAGAGTACACTGAAAAAAGTAACTTCACATATTCTTGTCAATGCGCGAACCCTGTCATTTTTGGACGTCTGTAGAAAAAAATTTTTTATCGAAATTTGTCCTATTTGACCGTCTATCCCTGCTTTGAGCACGGGGCTGCGCTGGCAGACTACCCGATTTGAACTTTGCCATACAAAAGGATCTTTTCATAGAAGGAGTCAGCCATGTATCGATGACAAACTTCTTATGTAGCCATCTCTCAGACTATAATTTGTGTTAGTTACTCAAATTAGACTCTTGTACACACCTAAAGAATTACTATTATGAGTTATGTGTGCCATATTTTGTGATTTCTTCATATTGTCGTCCATTCTCGGTACCCTTGGCATAGTTGAGGTAGTCCTATTGACACATTCCATGTTATGTTTCTTGAGGGTCATCCTCGGGATATAAGATCCGCATTTGTTGGGACATGGTTCCAAGACACTTCCACACATTGCATTATGACCCTGAAATTGTGATAGAATCAATATCATTTTGACTAATGATTGACATGAAGACACAGTAGAAATTACGATCGAGTGAAGATTCCTAGAGTAGGTACTATTCAGCATTGATTCAACAGTGGGTAACTCCAGAAAATACCCATGATGGAACTTCATCGGATTTGTGAAGACACTGTACGAATTACTTCACGAAGTGAAACCATTTCACTCTAAAAACATTAAAACAAGTGAAATCTCACTATTTTTCTCACTGTGTTTACGATACTCCACTGCATTAGTAAAATGACGATGAAATTTTTGAACTAAGAACCAATGTACTTGAGTGGGTCAGAAGGTGACCTATATCTGTTATATATATTTCACATCACTGGAATAACTTCGGTGATATTCGAGTACCTTATGTAATAAAAAAATGAAATGAAATCATTCTGGAGTTTGAAATGTGGTTGATTGACCATCAAATTGGAGTTGTGATCCTTCGAGAATAATATGACATCCAACGCAACGTCAGCAGATGCTATAGAACCAGATTCAAATGCATCATCTACTAGTACTTCTGGAACTGAAAATGAATCAAGGGTTCCCTTGAAAAACATGTGCCGAATATTTTGGAGCAGACAGAACGAAATCTTGAATCAATTGTTATATTTTCTTGATTAGGTACTATTTGTCCTATCTGTCCAGCATCTGTCGAATTAATGTTCTCATTAGGATATCGAGGGAAACAAACCTTACAGTCAAAGAAACTTTGCACCCATCATCTAGATTGGGTGAACACTTCATGGACATGTATATCGATTATTGTCAATCTGATGAGACTGTTCATATTAGTATTTGCTGTGGAAATATTTGATATCTTGGATGAAGTTTTTGGAGTGAAGTTTCGTGGCAATGTAATTTACTTGAAGACAAAAATACAGTCGCACCTGGAAAATTATATGTAAAGAATTGGTGGTAGTTTTTGGAGGAAGATAAGAAATTATCTACCAGTCAACCAACCTAAGGCTTTGATACCTGTATATAATTGGATAAGAATTCTGGAAAACCTATTGTGACAAATACGTGGAGGAACTATTCCAAAGCGCTAAACAGGAGTAAATATATAGACGATTATAAAACGTGATACCTACCCGCCTTTGCTGTGTTGAACTCAAATTATACAAGATATCAGATGACTAGAAAGAAGCCAAATACTCAAAGTGGAATGCAATGGTCCGAAAGAGAGAGACTCAGAGGCATCACCAGAAATGGTTCATAAAATAAACGGAAATGGTAGGAAACGAGAGGAAAACAACTACTTTTCTGGCTATATGCTACGCAGAACATTGACATACATCCTCCCGATAACTATGCAACGAATCGTGAGAACAAAGACAGCTGCAATTGATGCTGAGATGTGCTTAAATTTTTCAGAAACGCTCGAATACCTACTGACCGGTTTCGAGCTTTTCGCTCTCATCAGTGCAGGGGTGTCCCAAATGGCTTCATGACCGCCATTTGGTGCGAATCTGACTAACGTAGACACATCCGAGCATTTAATACCCATTAGGCGTTTGGATTCTGCGAGATGGACACAAACGCCACCTGAGTAGAAGGAAAGTAACACTCCAAAACGAATTTCCACTTCAGATAAAATGTGAGTGGCTGATTGCGCGACTGGTCTGTTTTCAACTAGCCTTAATAGTACGCAACGTCCTAGGGACGTCTTTATTTGGTACAATTCAAGTCCGAATGTCCCGGACCAAAAATAATTGTCCTTGGAAATTTTCATCCCATACATCTCATGCGATGTCAGAGCAAGGATGTCCATGGAATGTCCCAGCTGGTACATCATTCCGAATAGCCCAGAAATAGCATCCTTGACACGTCACACGTAGTACATATCATAAAATGTCCATGCAAGAGCGTCCTTAGCATATCTCCGATGGAATATAATTTCAAGTAGTACATATTCTGGCATGAGACCAGATCCTAAAAAATGTTTCTTCTAGAGAAACTATGAAATGCCCCAGGCGGTACATTTCATCAACTATCTCTGCACGGACGCCTTCAATATTTCCAGCATCGTATAACATTTGGAATGCCCTTTAGGGACATTCATCGCATAGTCCAATTGGTACATGAACTGTTATGACTTCGGAAGGAACTCCTATAGATGATCCATATGTTTATTTCAATAATAAGTACAAGAATTTCAGAAAATATAATTTCGTAAGATGTCATGAGTAAAACGTCTTATGGACATCCCAAGGAAGTCCTCAGAACGTCCTGGATACGATTCGGGATGTGTACTAAGGGACATCTATCGAAAGTATACATTGGTATTAGGACTTCAGAATGACATCCTATGTCAATGTTGTTCACGCATGCGAATGATCATTGTTTTTTTCGATTTCCAAGAAATAACGTTCCACGGACGTCCCAATCGGTACCTTCAATATGTTGTCCCTGCGAGTACGTTAACTTACACCTCGCCGACGATCGACTGCTAGGCTATATAAATACTCTTCCTGTCAACGTCTTTCATGAAATTATATTGGACATCCTTGGGAAACGTCTTTGATGGGCCTCCTTCGAAACCTTCTGCAGGATCTATTGGGGACCTTCTACGGACCATCAACTCAACTGGATGTCCAGTTATGTAAGATCTGGTCCAAGGAAGACACAAATAATTTCAAATTCAAGAATAATTCTTGAGTCCCTGGGACATCCGATGGACCTTCCAGACGACGTCCTATGCCAGTTGCAGGAACATTCTATGATCATTCCAGAGGACTTTTTATAGTCATTCCAGAGGACGTTTCGGATGTCCTATGAATGACGTCAGTACAAAAACAGAATGTTTATCAACTTCTTCTAAGGACGTCTATTGGATGATTTCACAAAAGATGCAATGTATATCCTTGAGGGTATACTTTTTTGATGAGATGGCCGGACATTTGTATCTTCTGGGAAGTACTATGAATGTCCGAGGTACCAAGAATGCATGTCCTATGAACGTCTAGAATGTCCCGGCGGTACGTCCTATAGATATCCATGAGACTTCAGTATGCTATTAGGGTTGGTCAGGTTCGCAACATATAGCGGTCATGAAGCCATCTGGGACACCCCTCCACTGATGAGAGCCAAAAGCTCGAAACCAGTCTTTAGGTAGTCAAGCGTCCCTAAACAATCTGACCACGGGTCAGGAAAGAATAAATATGCAGCTGTATTCGTCCAGACGTATATCAGAGAAATGTGATTGATTTTTGACGTAATTTCATTACCTTCTATCACCCGATCAATCAAAAACAAAAATGTGTAGCAACACTCCCTATAATTATGATTCATACTTTTCACAATCACTATAACATAATCAGTTTTTCAGGATTCGGCAATCCATCAAGCTCAGACAGTAAGATAACAGAGTTTATTTTGAGAGAATTATAGAAAATATTTCGTTTTCAAGGAAATTATTAGATATATCCCTATGGATATAACACATACAGTACGATGCAAATGCATGGAGTATAGATTCAAAAATTTCAAAATTAGCGACCTCAAAAAAACATCATCACGTAAGTTTCAATTAAATATATTTATATGGGATATGTTACGTCGAGTGACACGTCAACGGTATTGGCGTGATGAAGTAATCGTCGATTTTTTATAACAAACAGGGGATATGTGAAATCTTATTCAAAAGATCTACTTATTGTCTTTCCAATATATGATTTTTCGAATATTTATTCATACTGGAGAAATTCGAATTGTTTATGAATCGGAATACAATGAATTTATATAATTAATGTAGTCATTCATGAGATTCAGCAGTGATCCAATGTGAGAGCTGGGTAGTAAATTCTTTCCTAGGCCTGAAGTTTTCGAATATTTCTGGGATGCAGCCTCCGTTCTGATGCCTTTCCTTATTGGCAGTGTCCACAACCACGCTAACCCAGATAACACAAAAACGTGCCGAAAAAGTCCTCAAGCCGTGCACCTCAGACATTAGAAACTTCCCCAGAACGTCCTCTTCAGGTACTGCTTATGTTTCCAGGATGTTTTGGAGGCGTACGATGTTACAAAATCAGAGGTCCCCAGGATGTACGATCAAGGTCCTGTTCAGGTCTGAACGGGACCATGAATACCTGAATCAACGTAGATCCGCTTTTTTTACTCAGATAGTTAAAAAAGAGACCTAGACAGGGTAGAACAAATCTTATTTTGATTAAAGAAATTGAAAAAAGAGCTCCTACCAGGGATCGATCCCACGACCTTTAGATTACTAGTCAAATGCTCTACCTATTATTCTACAGAAGACTTGATGATATATCAGTATACAACAAGACATTATGTGCGAATGTCGATTGACCCTTCACATCGTGCTTGCATTGAATCAGATGATCACGGCAGAGAATACCTGAATAGTAGATGTTCTGTGATCAGGTAAGGCTAGTGAAAAATGAATTGTGAGAAATTTATTATGTTCATGTTTGCAAGGTTCCTACATGAATACAGTGTGTCCCACTTACCATGCTCACCATGGGTATCTTTTTAACGGTGAGAGATACGAGGTCGGTTAAATGACACCAAATGTGGAGTTTGTCAAGGCCAACTATAATGTGGAAAAATATTTTGATAAAATCTATTCGTTTTTGTTTTATACGCAAAAAACAGATTTTGATCATTTTCATGTCTCCTCCGTAACTTCTTTATTTATGAAAATATTCAAATAGGAATTTCACATTCTCATGGCAGTTTTTCAAAGTGAATCGGACCAAATCTTGTCAGCCATCAATTAAAAAAAATGGCTGCTCCAAGATGGCGGACAAGATTTCGGACCAAATCTTCCATTCAAAATTGGTGAGTGGGGGTTTTCGAGGTCGGAGATCATGATTTTTTTGTTGAAATTTATAAATTCAAGATGGCGGCTTGAAATTAATTTTTTGTTTTTGTATAAATGATGATAACTCCGTTGTTATCAACACAAAACTATTACTGCGACATATCATCTGTGAGAGAAAAAAAAGTTATTTGTAACTAAGTCATAGTGAGCTATGACCTACATTTGAAAAACTAGAGTTGGTGCTGATATCTCAAATTCTAGAAGAGTTGGTATGAATTTCATATTTTTTTCGAAATCACTTTGAAAACTGCCATGAGAATGTGAAATTCCTATTTGAATATTTTCATAAATAAAGAAGTTTCGGAGGAGACATGAAAATGATCAAAATCTGTTTTTTGCGTATAAAACAAAAACGAATAGATTTCATCAAAATATTTTTTCACATTATAGTTAGCCTTGACAAACTCCACATTTGCTGTCATTTAACCGACCTCGTATCCCTCACCGTTAAAAAGATACCCATGGTAAGCATGGTAAGTGGGACACACTGTATATATCAGAGATCGAGGGTAGAAATCATATGCAATGATTTCAATTATCATTATACTATTTATTCAGTCCCGTCCACAACAAGTTGATTACGTCCAGAGTTAGACGTACTCAGTACATAAGAATCGTACGTTTCCAGTACGTCTAGAAATGGACGTTTTCAGTACGTATTGAGAAGGATCCGGACGTTCAGACCTAAATCGGGCTTAGACTGGACGTCCTCAGGACGTCGAGTGCTATATGGAAACGTGGATCTTCATTTGAGAATCCCTCTACGCGAAATGCTGTATAAAGGTAGTGGCATTAACGTTTCGCGTGGATCTTTCTCTGTTGATCAATAATTCACGCTAATTTGGCGTGGAGCAATCTCTTGTTAATCGCTTACGCTAACTTGGCGTAAAACATTCCTTTGTTAATAGCTCACGCTAATTTCGCGTGGAGCAATCTTGACAGCAAATCTTTATGATCAATCCACGCTAATTTCGCGTGGAGCATTCCCTTATGATTAAACCACCCTAATTCGCGTAGAGTAGTCATTTTTCAATCATTCTTCCTGATAGATATTTTTTTCAATAAATTAATGTATATCAAGTTGACTCGAGAGAAAACAGGTGAAAAAAGTTGATGTTTTTCCCAAAAGAAATGGATTTTCATTGCATTTTATATTGAGTCATGGAACGTTAGTTCTGTCATCCATAAATTGGATACTTCATAATGTTAGGAGAATATTTATTGAAAACGAATGATCATCATCGTGTAATGGAAAGATTCATTACTTGTCAGTTGAGCATCAAGAAAATAATCACAGAAAAAAAAATTTAAGATATATAATGCCAGTTGAAAACAAAGTTGACAGTCGCTGTAGTTAGGATTGGAATAAGAAATGAAAACTTGTTGGTTTACTTCATGTTCTGTTTCCCACGAAAAGGGATATCCTGTAATGTTCAGAGAACATCGTGAGAACCAACGGAAATCAGGTAGGAATTGGTGTTCTTCTTGAAAGTCTGGAGCTTATATGCCTCGAGGAACACCTCCCTTGGCAATGTGTTCAGAGCCTCGTTGTTCGTTGAATGAACGAGTCTTTGAAAAGAGATGTTCTGCAGGTCTCCAAAGTGACCAAGAAGAGGTGCGAAACCTCAACTAGACGGGTTAATCTCGCTGGGACTGCCAAGGAAGGTACAATTGTTGATATTTCAGAATATCATCGTCCATGGAAATATCTAAAAAATATAGGCAGATCGCCAACATTTTTATGGCGTTCCAGAGAAGTGAGTGACTTGGTGAGCGAGGCATCACCAACGAGACGAATTGCCCTTTTTGGACAGAATCCAAAAGTTGCAGGGTACGTTTGGGTGCTGCACTGCGAATATGGACGGTATTCCAGGACAGGTCGGATCTGTGCCTCATAGATCATAAGCAGCTGACTGGAAGTGAAATAGCTCCTGGCCCGAAACAGAAAACCAAGTTTTTGAGATGCACTTTTAGCAATTGATCTCACGTGTTTTTCCCAAGAAAGGTTATTGCTGATAGTAATACCAAGCATCGAAATGGATGTCTTCAAAGGTATGGTTTCTCCTGACAAGCTTATGTTTGGCACAGTGAGATAGGCTTTTCTAGAGAAAAGGCATGCTTGTGTTTTGTTTTCATTGAAATCTACCAAGTTATTGGATTCCCATTCGAATTGTTGCCAAGTCCATATTTATGTTGTTAACATTTCTCCCTCGTTCGTTTCTGATTTGCCTGGCTGGTATTGGAGCCCTGGAAGAGAAGGCGGAATGGAGGGTACTATCATCCGCAAGGTGTGTACTGGACATGAAGTTGCTTCGAAGAAATCGTTGATATGGAGTAGAAATAGTGTTAGTGCTAGAATTGATCCTTGCGGAACACCAGCATTTATGATAAGGAAGTCAGATGAAACTCCGTCGACCACTACATGGAGAGACATGTTCGAGAGAAAACTAGCTAGCAGAGAACATAGCTGGGAGGGCAAAGCCATAAGATGGAAGCTTGGCGAGGAGTCCGTGGTGCCAGACTCGATCGAATGCTTTGGAGATATCAAGTGCCACGGCTAAGGTTTCACCATATTTTTCAATAGATTGCTGCCATGCACATATGTGAGACGCAAGCGAGCAGGTCACCAGTTGATCTATGATGACGGAAGCCTATTGCCTATCGTTGATAATACTTGAATATTCCAGGTATTTCATGAGCTCGATGTCGATAGCTTCCTTCATGATCTTAGAAATAATAGATAGCAGTGCGATCGGTCAGACAAGTCATTCCATCTCCTTCTGGATATTTCAAAATAGGATGATAAATAGCGGTTTGGCGTGTATTCTATCAGTTGTATACTTCCAGAAAATAACTTGGTTTTGTTTACACCATCTTAACTAATGCATGTTCATAACAAAAAATATATATGATTTCATCATGGATTGATCATAAGGGAATGCTCCACGCAAAATCAACGTGGATTAATGAAGAGGTAATTATTCACGCCAAACGTTGCCGTCAGTACCTTCATGGCGCGTGGTTCTAGACACGGCCTTCTTTATTAGATTCAGATATTATTCCATCTTCAAAGTCAATAATAATTAAATTCCCAATTCGTATGGAGTTTGTTAGTCTCATTGCTTCAATTTATGTGTTTTGTTCCTGAACCAACCAAAACAATAAAAATTACTACGATGTTCAATTCTCAGTGGCGAATCTTAGCATAGTTCAGTTCAACCATTGTCGATCTGAATGAATGGTTCAACCAAAGGGTATTCATTGTAGTATCAATCTTCAAAGTACAAAATTTTGATTGACCGTGTAGATTTGAATAATTATACCATTAGATAGAAAATCAGTGGACCTATCAAATGAGGTATCACATGCCCCCTGTATGTTTTTCAAAACTCATCCATCACGTCATTATGCCAACAATGGTGACGTAATATCATGAAATGGGGCTTCGTAAAAACAAAACCAACTTCTCCTCGGATTTTCTTCAAAAGTAGTCCATTTCTGAATCAACGAATCATCTCATGAATTCGCATCGTACTGTATGCAAGAAATGACGAATCAAACAGGAAAATCACTTACCATTTCTGTTTCATTCTCGATAGTTTTGTTACAAAAGTAACAGGTGAATCTGTTATTTTCACTACGACCATTATTCATATTCGATTTCATTGTCACTCTTATCAGTTCTCGTATGGATGTAGGTGAGCCATGCAATGATACTCCCAAATCAGTAAACATAGGTTTCATTCGGTAAATATAAGATTAGATTAGCACACTATATATGTACACAGTTAATTGATATATCAATGTGCTATCTTCATCCGCTGACTACTAAAGGTACCTATACCTTGATAATTCATCAGGCTCATGTATCACATACTTCGGGATATGAATCAGTCCAAAAATCTGTCAATTGAAAGCCTTATGTAGGTGACAAGAAAATTTGGGATGTAGGTTCATCTAATTTTTTAATAGAGACGAAAGTTCCCGGTTTTTCATAGCATTTTTTCAATTCTTCGTATTCTTACGTATGACATTTCATGTCCGAACACCCATTTCATTATTTTATCTAGTGGGCCATGTACTACCTATTTGAAATCATCAGAAAAAGCGGATTTAGCGAATGAACAAGCCTAATTTATTTCGTAACTGTAATTACGATGTATGATTCATTAAATTTTGGAAATCGGAACTTCATATTAAGACGTTATGCATTATGAGATGCCATGCACTGTGCACTCGAACTCATGACTTGGATAAATCATCTCTCACGGAATACAGTAGGTATCAAACTTTTATGAATTCTACAGTGAAATTATGGAATAATTTTTGCTTGTGCATTGAATAAATCCGCCAAAGATCAGAATAATCCTACATTATCGAATTTACCTATTAAAAAGAGGTAGTTGCTTGAAATACAGACCAGAAAGTCAAGCGAAACGTTCTTTAATCGAAACTCAATGAGGTTAAGTCTTGGAAAGGAAGAGAACTAGAGTTGGATAGATTATCTAAAATTCCGCGAAAATGCGGTACCGCCATTTCATCTAAGTATTGCAATAGATCAATGTCTGTTAGAGCTCTCCGAGGCGATTCACCAAGTTTCTTGAAGTCGGGGGTTTAAAATAAATACCCATCCCATTTCTGTAGATCTTCAAATAGACTCCTCTGCCAACTTTTCCGTGAGCGATCGCCTCCATATGCTTATTATTGTGGCGGTTTTCCTCTTTACCCTCTTTAGCTGAATGAATAGCTCGAGCTATGCCAGCACTACCTGCAGCTAGAGTCACTGGATGTTATTAGTTTGATAAGAGTTCGGACCAAGTTCGGACACAGAAATGACAACGGTTAGGGGTTTTGAATGTTTAGATTCATTAAGTTACACACCTTGCATTATGACAAGAGCACCATAGTCGTCCCGCGCTTTTTCATTCAAAATTGTTTGAATTTGACAATACATTTCATAAACGTCAGAATTGAAATGAAATTTCACAATTATACATTCGAGATAAAAGCAGCTATGGAAATTACTTGTTGTGCAATAAATTGAGACAATTTTGAAAAAAATGGATATCATTTATTCAATTTTCCGAAACAAATATCAACCATTCACTTATGGAAGGAAGATATGAAATGGCCTGGGTGCAAAATCAATTTGAAAACGAGCGAGATCTGTGAGGTAATCATTAGAATTCACTTTTTATAACAGCATCTGATTAGATGAAACTATATTTTAGGCCTATTTTCAAACAGAAGATTTCAAAATCTGTTTGTGAGAATCTGCTGTTCCATCAATTTACAAAGCAGGCGATTTCGAGAACAAAATTCCATTATTATCATCACACAAAATACCAAACAAAATAATCATGGAAAAGAGGAAATGATCGCAAAATTACATAATGAAATTGATAATTTGAAAACGAAACTAAGAAAAGCAAGTAAACTACAAAGTGATATATTATTGAATGGCGTTTTTGGTGCCGACCAAACTTGAAATTTAACAGTGAAAAGTGAATAGTTATTTATGTATCAAGGGAATCATTATAAGGGCCTTAATTACGCTGGACGTTATCGTTTTGGAGAAATTTTCTATATCGATCCAAGTTAGTTAGCTCCTAGGGCGCTAAGTGGAGTTGCTGAGAACTTTACAAAACCAAGTATTTGGTAGGTCTCGTCAAAATAAACTACTTTTTTCCTATCAAATGTTTATCGAAAAATGATTTGTTCTCTGTATTTCAGCACCCTGTATCTCCGAAATGAAGCATTTTCGGACACAAAAGCTTATATAGACTTTATTTATTATAATTGTCTCAGGAATACTTCACTTGAAAGTACTTCTGTTACTTCCTGTATATTGAGAATACCTACCTTTAATTTAATATAAATAACTTCATGTTTTATACTCATCTAATATTAAAATGTTGTTACATGCATTCTTTTCATTTATATAACAGTTGTTCTGCTAGAAGTGTATCACTATAAATTGAAGTGGGTGTTTGTACCCTATACCCATTGTCCATCTACGGCTATGATTGATTTGACAGAAAATATAACCTCTAAAATCGTATCTGACAATCAGGCGCTACTAGGGAAATTGAAAAGACAAAGAGCAGCATATATGTCTTATTCTTTTATTCACTTCAACCATTGTATTATAGAAAATAGACAAGGACAAAAGTTCAGCTGTGTCCGAACTCTTATCAAACTTATACCATCCAGTGACTCTACCTGCAGCCAGACTCCCTCATGCCGATGAACAGGCAAAAATGGGTATAAGAGAAAAATTCCGCCAACTTTTGGAATAGGTATGATTCAGGTATAGTTTTCTTTCCACCAGTCATCTTTAAAAATTTTTGAGCAGCTCCAATCTTCATTAGTGATGTTTTAGCAAAGTTTCTGGTGAGTTCTCAGCGAACTTTTCAAACCACACTCGATCCGGAAGCAATTTTTTCACACTTTTTCTTTGCTTTATTCTTCCTCATCCTCCTTGATACTCGTCGGTTTTTCATTCCATCATTACAGCCCATACCAAAGCGCCACTTTCCCCTCATCATGTTGGTAACTAACCAAGATGTACTCCTTTCTCCTAAATTAGCGTCTTTTGATTAAACTGTCTCTTACGCAGCTTCCTTTATTTTTTCATTTATTGAATGCCTAGCAGATAAATCGCTTGTACTCTCGTGATACGTTATATTGTGTTTCTTGCAGGCTTCATCCAATTGATTTATTCAAGGATCGCCACGAGCTAGTTTTTTTGTGAGTTCGTTCAATATTGATAACCACCAGGAATATGCAATTCGAACGGCATGATATAAATGAGCTTTATATATCATTCAACCATCACACAATGCGGACTTTTCAGCAAGAGGAAATGTTGAGTGTCGCCAATTTTGATGAAAACCTGGGGTTTGGTATTGATACCTATATCGCCAAATATTATTCGCGGTCTGATAATTGGCTCATCGAATTGCGGGAAACCCAATGTTATGATTTCACATCTTACCAATGAAAATGCTTTACGTTTTGCAATATCTATATCTATTCAAAATCACTATACCAAGCAATAAAGTATGAGTACTTGCGAAAAGTGTTGGAACCGATTGAAGGGTTAGGATTTTACACATACAGGGTGTCCCAGAACAACGTACATTAAATTCAACAGGGTGAACTAGAGTTCAAAATAGGTCGATTGGGACCAACTTACCTTCATACGCAAATGCACCGTTGGGCCGTGAGGGCGATGAATGGAATTTTTTTTCTTTAGATTTTATTGAATATTTCAAAATCCTTGAGAGGTGATGATCTGAAATTTGGAAGGCAGTCAACTATAAGAAGTGTGCATAGATAACAGGCCTCATATCAGTGCAATCGATATACAGGGAGATACAAATTTAGCATTCTGATTGGAGAAAATCCATAGAACTTTTTTTGAGTACGCCACTGACTATATTTCAATACCTACTTGAATAACAAAATCAATTATCTCTTTTTTTTTCTCACCACATTTCTTTCTTTTCGCTTGTTTTACAAGATATCCAAAAAAATTCTTTCGGGGTCCCTCCATATCATCCATAGTCCAAGATATCAGAGTTATTGTGTTATGCAGGTTTCTTCCTCCTTCATGTTGATATTTTGGTCACATGTTCATGTTAATTATTTAATAACCTAGGGAGATATTGGGTGATAATAGCGTAGATACGAAAAAATGCTCAGATCGGCCGATTTTAGTTTGCACCTTCTGCTAACAATCAAAGTCGTTTGCAGGTTTTTATTCGTTCTGTCGAGAGTTCGGGGGCACAGATATCATATCATATTAACTACTTTTTCTGCTCATTCATTGCTTAGTAAGAAACCCATCAAGCGGTTCGTACAAAAAATGTACGAAAACGAAGAATATCAATTGTCTAGTTTCATTATCATCATTATTTTCATACCATATGTCACTGTCAGCCTAATCATTGTAGTTGATTGTTCAATTCTCAGTGTGAACTTCGAAAAAATATCAACTAATAATGGCTGCTCAAGACCACCAACATTATTCTAACAACGAAATGGCAGACATGCATCTCATTCTGGGAAAATGCGATGGGAATTCAGCAAAAGCTGTTTGAAATTTATGCTCGGAGATATCCGCACAAAGACGAACACCTAATACCAGGACCTTTATTGCCATTGATCGGAGGATGAGAGAGACTGGGACTTTGGTGGTGAGGAGACGAGGATCTGGTAGGCAGCGATTTGTGCGAACTGTAGAGCAAGAAGACCAAATACTGGAAATCATTGATCAACGCCCAGAAATAAGTTGTAGACAACTTGCTCGTGAGACAGGATTGTCAAAAACTTCAGTCTGGAGAATCCTTAAGGAACAATTACTCCATCCATTCAGCATAAGGAAAGTGCAAGAGTTTCTTCCAGGTGATTTTCAACTGACAATAGATTATTGTCGTTGGTTTCTGTTGCAACACAATGAAGATGTTTCTTTTATACGAAAAATTATGTTCACCGATGAGGCGATGTTCACAAGAAACGGAATCATGAACTTGCATAATGCTCATCAGTGGGCAGATGAGAATCCAAGAGCCATCATGCCAGCTCGACACCAAAGGAGTTTCAAAGTGAATGTTCGGGCTGGGATTTTAGATGACAATCTAATTGGGCCATTTTTTTTACCGAGCCGCTTGACAGGAATTGAATATTTGAACTTTT